GAGATGCCACATGCAGATGCTGCTACATAAAGCAAATCATGCACTGTATTTTAACCAAATGAGACATGAAAGTTTGCCAGATTGTTTCTTCAGATTGAATAGCAGGAGTAACAGCACAGCAAAGGAAACCACGTTCAAGTTTTGCTCCTCTCAAAGTATAACCTCAACAAGAAGTAAATCCAGCTAGGTCTGTGCAATATGTTCTCTACAACTTTTCCTTTTCATCCTCTTTCATTCTCATGTAGGAATTTAAAATTTTCATTGCTGTGGTATGGAAAAGTATTTGTTTACACTATTTTTGCAGTCTTAGCTTCCTGACAGCTCCCCCAAAAAGCCACAACACCCCCACAATAATAGGATGACAAAAATATTGCACCTCAGTAACTTTTTCAGTAGCAAACTTGCCACTGCACTTGTCTGAATGAGAAGCAGTGCCAGTTACACAAGGACAAGTGCTTTAGGCAGACTACAAGAAAGGGAAATGCAAACACAAAATTTATGGATGGTTTTAAAGATTTCTTCCTCTATCTGGACAAGCACTGAGGCTTAAATATTTTGTACATTCAACAAAAGAATCACCCTCTGATTCAGCTTGATTTTATGATGGTTCTGATGTTATCAGGCTGAAAAAAATCTTGCAAATTTACTGTTCCCTTCAGATATAATTGATGAACACTGGTGCTCCACAGTGCTGTATAAAAACAGCTACACATGGATTTAATAAAAATATGTAGGTTTTTAAAGTCAAATACCTCAAAACCTATTTGCAAGTTATGTCACACTGGCCACTAGCACTGACCCTTTGCTTCCCTGCTCATCATAAAGTTGCCCACTCATCCCTCATTTCCCTCATTCTCTCCTGCTGTCCTTGCCCACCCAAGCACCCAGGTGAGAGCATTATCCATTTTAAATCCTGAACACAAAAACCACCACTCGCTGCAGCTTTTGCTGCCCAAGGATTTACCCAGGACTACCTGGGACAAAAGGCCCTTGTCGAGCTTTTTTCAAGTACATTATTCTGCTGTTGATCTTCTCCTCACCACAGCTCAATGCACCTGGGAATTTCACCCCTTTTCTGCATCTTCTCCATGGTAATAAATGTTTGTGCTGCTCATCCCAAGTTCCCTCAAACTGGCAGAAAATTAGTGCAGAACTTAGGCAAGGCTCAGGAGAAAAAAGCTGGATCAGGCACTCTGAGTTGTTTTCCTGCTCCCACCACAGAAACATCACGGGAAGCACTTTTGGGAACACAGAGCCAGAGGGGCCCAGCAGGGCTGACAGGGCACAAGAGGGACAGCACACACTGCCCTGGCCATGCTGGCAAAGCCTCCTGCACACCCAGCACTGCATCTGGGACTGATCCCACCCCCTGCAGGCCAGCAAACTCTGCTCCCAACTCTGCACACATTCACAGGGCGTCCTGTGCTAATTCCCTCTCCACAGAGGCTCCTTGGAATTCATTTGCACTTGCTAATGGAATTAGTTGCTTGTTTCAGTAACTCCATTTGAATCTTATTAATCAAATTTGCTTCAATGCCTATGAAAACTGTCAGACAGTATTGTTTTACCTAAATTTAATTTTGAAACAGCTTTTCTGTTATTCTAGGTGCTGTGCAAGACACACAACACAACACAAATTTCCATTTACAAGTCCAACACTGCAGCTGTTTTCAACACAATCTCTACTTTCTAACAACATATTCCCTCAGTATCAACACACCAAAGCTGGAAAAAAGTCAAGGAGAGAGCAACTTCTGCAACTGTGTTCTCCTCAGGAAGAAAAGCCAGAGCCTCCCCTTGTGAAAACGGACAGTGCTGGATCGGGAGCACTAAGAGTTACCCTATGAGCACATTGAACATTTCAAACTGCACATCTGTAATTCTACTGACTCCAAATATCCTTGCTGAGCATAAGGACATTCCCATGGACACCAAGCCATAACCACCAGGATCCCACCTGCCAGTCTCACCTCAGGTACAGGTTTCCTACAGACCTTTAGTAACACCCAGAGGCCCTGTAATTGTTTTTCTTGTCCTAAAGCCACACAGTGGCAGCAGCCAATATACAGATACCATCCTGCTCCACAGAAACTGCACTGAACTTGACCACTCCTAACCCTGCTTTGCAATCCTCTTCCTGTAGTTTTTGTCCCTTTTTAATCATCAATGTTGCTCAAATCCTATCTCTGAAAGGGCACATAAATTCCAGCCTCTATCTGTGAGCATATGTATTCTATAGAACTTTCCCTTTTTCTGCTATTTATGGCTTTTCCAGTCTTTCCATTTTTTCTATTCTCAACCAGCAAATACATCCTCTCCAGCACTTCCTAAGTTCCCCTCTATGTTCCTCCTCTGGCAGCAGTAAGCTGAAATGTTTTCCAGGTAGAATGTCCACTGAACTAAATTTTTGTGAAAGCAGAAGTGAGCAATCAGTTTTACTTCTTCAACTTTAATTTGTACTTTACTCTGATCTATCTTTTAAATGGCAGAAGCACCTTGAATTCACTATATCAAGCTCTGTTAAAGAAACTGAGTCTGTCCTAGAAGAGTTGCAATTTTCAAGTGCACTCTGTTATCATGCACTGAATCTGGAAATCACCAGTGAAGCACCTCAACGTGAAATAACTCCTGAATTACCAACATCCAGCCATGCCCATCCAATACCTCTTCAGTACTTAAATATTCACAGAATCATGGAATGGTTTGGGATAAAAGGGACTTTAAGATCAACTTGTTCCAACTCCCTGCCATGCTCAGAGCCATATCCAGCCTTATCCTCCACCTGCTAGGAGGCAGGAAGATGTGTGGAAATGTCTATAAATGGTACAACCACTGCTCCTGGCTGCTGAATTTCTCTGTGCCTGTGACAGGAAGTGGCAGGGAGTTATTTCACAGCTCGGTAACAAATACACAGTGATAACACCAGATCAGGGTAGGCTATGCCTGACCACTACAAACAATTCCTTCTCAGGAGTATTGTTGATCTTTACCCATGGGACAGGTCCTGTTTGCATGACCTTTAGTGTTGATAGGGTGTCTTGCATTTCAGACAGCAAATGGTTTTGCTTTCCCCAGAATATGATGATATTCAGATGATCTAGATTACAATCTGCTGACTAATGCTCAGTGTTCTTAGCTTGTGATAATATCTGTAATTTGAGATTTCTGTCCTACATCAAAATACAAGTGAATTATATATCCAAAATAAAACAACCTCGTTAGTTTTAATTCACTAAAAGAGATATCTGCATTTTTTAACATATCAATTATTATCCCAGGTCTTATCTTCTAATGCAATTACATGAGTATGATACAGTTATTAGCACATCTGAAACATTGTACTGTCTGTGAAAGACTACAAAACTCACTTAATTCAACATCATCTTGGATTGCAAAGAAAAGATGGAAAAACTTGATTTGAACAATCAGTTCAAATGCTGTACTTAATCCAGGTAGGAATTAAGCATCAGCAAACACTGCTATTGAAACCAATTCCTCCATAAAACCTGGGCTTCAAGTGATGCATATTTTACACTTCACACAGTAGTAACTGCCTTTACCCACATTCTAACACCATTCTACTGCCCTTCCAAAAAGCTTTTAACATTTATTGTGTAACTATTAACTCCTGACACAAAATTCCTAAAATTACTTTCATTTTGCATTTGAAAATAATGAAATCAGAATTTTACAATAAATTTTCTTTATCAAAAAAAATGGACTGAAACAATGTCTTAAAAGGCCACTCAGTTCTGTGTTTACCCTGCTTAAATTGAATACATATGGTCTTTACCTTGTAAATCATTAACTCCCCCAAACATTCCTAAGTTAAAATTAATTTCTGGCTGCAAAGCCTGCTGCTGCTGGACTTGTGACCCCCAAAATGAGAACAAAAAGCTGCATTTTATTTGGGCATGGACCCCTGTTCTCAACTGCCATGACAGGGTTGGAGTTATTACCTCCTGTCCAGCAACACCTGCCTTTAAGCCCCAATTACATTCAGCCATGTCCTCTCTACCCCAAACTGCAGTCCTTGAAACCAGATGCTGTGTGGAGGAGAACATGTGTGCTTGAGCTTCTCATTTCAGCAAATAAAACCACCCTTCTTGGATATTTAGGGCTATGGGCACACTACCAGAAATCAACATCAAGTGCTGTGATCACCAAATCCAAGGTATTCTTTTCCCTCGGTGCACTTGTGGCTCCTGATGTGGCAGAGGGGGTGGCAGAGGGGGTGACAGAGGGGGTGACACTCATCCCTGCCACCCCTCCACCCCTTTCTGATGAGACTGCTCCAAGTCACTGGGACAGGATAACAAAATCAGGATCCCCCTCCACTGCAAGTATGGGGAGTCCTCCTAAACAACAGCAAAGGTAAAGTGGGTGCCTGAGGAAGGACAGTGAAGGATGAGGATTAGGAGAGTGAGCTACGACAAAACAGTGACAGGACTGCACTGCCCCTTTCCTCAAGGCACTGAGGGAATCTGGCACTTGGAGCTTTCTGCCACCTTCATCCTACTCATGTGTAAATATCAGAGTGGAAAACACAAAAACTGCAGGTGTTTTTCATAAATAAAAACTGTGTGAGGCTGGCTGCTAGGAAGAATCTGCTGCTAGAATAGCTGCTAGGGGTAAAGGGACAGAGAATGACTCTGGAGCAAACAAAGTAACTCAGGAATGTGCATATTAGATGTAAAAAATTGCCCCTTTCTATTAATTATTAAGACCTGCTTTCACAGTTGACTGAGAATACATAGATCAAGTCTCTCAAATGCTTCTGCTTAAAAATTAAACATATAATTTAGAAAAAGCTATTTTAAACATATTTTCATAATCACCACAGGCTGTTGCACTGCTTTCAATACTGGGTTACTTGCTCTCTCTTGTGTCTGGAGGCCACAAAACAATGCAAGTTTATTACTGAAAGTCTTTCTGTAACCTACAGCTGCATCATTACCTTCAGAAAAAAACCAAAACACTTCCACTGCAACACTGGAGAAGACCAGAATTGTTTTACTTGAATATACAAATATTGCTCACATACTAACCCAACAGAAAAAAGGCTGTAAGAGCATTTATAGCCAGACACAGCATGACTGGTATCAACTAGCAAAACAGGATTATTCTCCTGAACACAACGATTACAAAACCAATACAGCTGGTGCTGGTAATGCAAAAGCACTTCAATCATTAATAGGAAACTCTTTTATCTGTTCTTGAATACCTACACTGAATTATGGAGTATTTCCTCTACCTCTTTAGCACACTTACCTGTATGCAGCACCATTAAGCTCTGGATGAACAACTCCAGGGTCCATACTGGCCCAATGTGTAGCTGCAGTCAAGTGATCTTTGTTAACACAGTTTTTCAGGCTGTCTGGAATACGACCTAAGATGAAGCAAGGAAGAGGAAATAAAAATGTATTAAAATTGTGTGCCTCATACTCTTAGTATGTCTATGTTAAAAAATACTTACAAATATTTGTGTATTTAAATCAATACATAAAATGACACTAAGAGCTTGTTTCTGATCCTTGCTGTAGCCTTTTGCCTGGGACTTAGGCAATAATGGCTGAAATGCTCTGCTTAATTTTGATTTTCCTGTCTCTCTTTATCTCTTCTATACAGGGTCTCAGGAGAACCAAAATCAGTAGGAGTTATCTTTCCAAGAAGCTGTAATTAGGATATAGAGCACAGCTACCAATCAGACTCAGTAATCTAGCCCCCTGCTTTCTGTCCTTAACATCACTTTCCTCCTTTTCCTTCCACCTGCAACAGCAACTAAAAACACTTTATGAAAAATACAGAATTCTGAATGGAATGACCAGCACTTATTCCCTGTCCTCCTGAACTTTCCCTTCTTTATCTAAATTGCTCTTCACTTTTATTTACTGCAATGTATCAATCCTCAGCCATGCCTTTCATTCCTACATAAAATGAAAATACACCAGAATCTCCTTTCTTCACTTCATTAAACTCTTCCTTAACCTCTGAAGTACAACTGAAGTTTTAAGACTGGAAAATGTGTGAACCTGAATCCTCAATTCAGCACTGGACAAGCCTGTGACTGTCATCTGCAGAACTATCTTCAGCCCTGCTACAAATGACATGAGCAGATCCAACACAGATTTTCTTCACAGCAATAGGAAAGTTCCCACCTATTTTAAACGGAGAGAGATCAATTGGAGCATGTGTTTTTTCTGGCATCTGTTTTAATGTGTCTTCACTGAAGTTCAATCTTACAGTGCACTTGCACAGAGGGGCAGAAAGGGGTAATTTTGAGTCCACTGCTGGCAGTGCTGGCAGTGGGACTCCAGAAACCCTCACAAAAACTGACCATGCTCCACCATTGAAGAACTCAGCCCTTTGTCTCCAGCTTCCTACTGGAAATCTGATCAAGGACTTCACCATCTCTGCCTGCAATTCCTACCCATCAGCCTGGCCACAATGGGGCTGTAAAAAAGCCTTTTCACAGAACTGCTTTTTGTGCAATGGATCCCATCAAATAGGGTTACTCCATGCCTTCAGTGGATGTCCCTGAACCTGGCACATCTCCTGGGCACAACCTGAAAGGGCCTTCAGCTCAGCACTGAACAAGGTGAGCTACATAACCCATTACAGGTGAACCACCGAGAAATCATCTTCAAAATGTAGCTAAAATATACATCCATCTAAACTTCTGCCAGAACTGTCCACAAATTTAAACAGTACCTTTCTTCTTCTAATGTTTATCCTTCTCAATCCTGTCTTCCTCTTTGCCCACCTTAACTTCTGTAGGCACGTTCTACTAGTCTCCCCTCTAAACCCAGTAAGTATTTTTTAATTTATTTTAAACTTCTAATTATCTTTTCACTTGCCATGCTTGCCCTATCTCTTACATCCATTCCAGTGGTCCTCCTTAGTTCATACTTGGAATGCTTCAGAGTTTAAAAATATATTTCAAGGTATTTAATCTCTGCTGATTATTTCTGTTTTACACATCACAACATCATTGACTTTTAAGCAACAGCAAAAACCCTTAACATTTTTATTGTCAGATGGTAATCATAGCCTTCATTCCTACACTTCACACCTTTTTCCAATTATTCTCCCTCTCTACACCCTCTCTTCTTTGTGCTCCCCTATGGTTTTCATATATCCAGCTTTATCCCACATTTCCTGTATCTTTCCTACATTTGTTTCACTGCAATTCAATGTCATTCTCACCTCCTTAATGCTGGTCTCAGTTTGATCTTACTAAAAACCATATGAAAACACTGAAGTGCTGACAGCTTCGATACAAATCAATGATCCAGATCGCTGAGAGCACCATCACACTTGAAGGAACTGTGTCTGCCTTTCTAGGCACATATGCTTGGGCTACTGCACAAAGTTAACATAAAACTAGCTCTGGATAGCTGGCTCTTCTCTACTTTCAGACAACAGCCTATTAATGCTGGTTTGCACATCAATCACAGGTACTGGATGCTGGTTTGTGCAATCTCTCCCAGAGCTGTCTGGGAGCAGGCAACAGCTACTGAACACCCTGACAAACAAACAAATGCAGCACTGGAGTTCTGGAGCACAGCCACAAGCACCAATTCCAGGAAAAGGATGGTCAGGCTCCTCAGGTCACCTCTAAAACAGAGTGAAATCATCCAGTAAAGGACAATTCAGCTCAGGAGTTTAAGAGGTGTCTTTAATGAGCATCCAGAAGAGAATCTTCTTTCTGCACAGGCTATAAATGAAACTAAATTGCCTGGCCTCTCCAGGCACAAGGCAGAGGGAAGGCTACTGCCAGTGCTCTTTGTGGAACAGAGCAATGTGCTGGCACTGAACTGCTCTCAAGGTGACACAGATGGCCCTGCATGTCTGCAGAGCATTCAGCCGCCATCGCCAAGGGGGACACAGCAAAGTCCAGCTGAAGGGAAAGCATTAGTGCTTAATGAATCATTTTCCAGTATGAAAATCCTTCCTTTTATTTTAGGCTACAAGGGATTCAAACCCATGCCAAATGGCTCAGTCCTCTCATTTTATTTATTAGCAGTGCATGTTTGAGACGTAGCTGTTTTCTCTTATGTGAGCAGTTTACAATTACATGGCAGTTATATAACAAAGACACTCTGCCCTTTAAAATGCCAGACTTCTTTAGCAGGGCTTTAAAGAGGGGAACATCTAAAATAGAATAACTTCCCAACAAAATACTGAAAACTTTACACAGAGAACTGCTCATGACAAGTACAAAGGAGTGTCTAGGAAAAGCTAAGGAAGGTACCAGCAATACCAGGAGGACTTGCAGTCAAATCCATCAATGGGTAATAGTTATATGCAACAAAGAAAAAAGCAGATGATTTTCCACGTATAAATACATTTCCTATACATGAAAAAAGGACTTATTCTGCAATGCCTGCCTTCCCTATATAATTGCAAAGAACCTCCAAAATTACTTGTTCCAATTCTGAGAATAGACTTAGTGAGCATTTGCTGATTTCTGTGTTCCAAGTATTAGAAACAAAACCCAAGGCTGCTGCTTTTAGGCATCTCTCAAGACTGAAGAAATAGGTTTCTTACCAAGAACCACACAGTGAGGGAGCTAATGACAAGAGCAGTGTGAGCCAGTACCTGTGATCGCCCTCCGGATCTCTCGCGCCGCTTCCTCCCGCATCTCAATGGAGGCTTGCTCACTGTACCAGGCTGCATGTGGGGTACAGATCAGGTTTGGTGCATCCTTCAAGGGGCCCTGACTAAAGCTAAATGAAAATTTAAAACAAGATCAAATGACAAAAAAATATTGGGGGGCAAGGGGAAAAGCAAGGTGAGGAATCCTGATGGATTTGTACATACACAGATTAATTTCTACAACACAAAATAACTGCATTTCTATTCCTTATTGTGCTTGTTTACAGTTCTGTTAATTTAATGTATTATTTAGGGTATAAATAAGCAACAATCACTTTATAGACTCAAAGGGTGGAACTTAAGTATAGCAGCAACATTAGCTTCTGTCCAATGCACTTACTGTAACTACAGTCACTGCCACTCCAGTTCTGGGGCAGAAATGAATAAAGGAAAACCCAAATTAATTTAGGATGTCATTCCATTTGTCTAGGTCATCACAATTTTACTTTTATTGCATTAACTAACAAAGCTCTTCTCTTTCTGTCAGTATGACATCTAATCATTTAAAGAAAAAAATCTTACAATTATTTCCAAATCAGAGGTGTGTCCATCAGCAGCCTCAATGCTTTTTGCATAATTCAAGTTGGTTTTTTTTTAATTTTTAGCTGTTTTTTCTTTCCCATCCCTTTATAGAAACTCCACAGAAAGAAGGAAATTTACAGATTGTTTTTTAGGGAAAGCAATGAATCTGTGTAAAAGTGTTATCACAGATACAAAGTAGAGAAACTGAAAATAATGGAAACTTGCTCCTCCTAGTCATTTCCAGTTTTAATAATCTTGCAGTCAACTGTAACAGGAGAGCAAATATTTTAAGACAAAAGCGTGCTTTCAGGGTTGGTCATAATTCATACAAGGATAGATTTCATCTGTAGTTCAATAAACATCAAAATATCTGGCAAAACTCTTGAATAAAGAGCGCATGCTGCAATCGGATAGACATGCAGCACTGCAGCCAAAGGAAACTGTGGCTGTAATCCTGCAGCTGCATCTCTGCACATGGCATCTCCACGCAGGAAATGGGGTTCCTAGAGGGGCACTGGGCTGCTTGTGCACATCCCAGACAGCAACTGGGAAGAATGGATGGAGCTGCAAATCCCCTGAGCTGCTACACTGGCTTTGCACAGCACCACTGCACTGCAATGACTACCTTGGGGAGTAAATGAATCCAGGGTATGCATACAGAAAATTAAGTTTTTGTCATGTGGCATCATGCCTCACTCAGCAGATATAAAATTTCTGACAAAAAGGTATTATTCTATTTTTTCAAAGATTTTATTTCCCCCTCAAGCTGGAATGAGAGATACTGTCCTCTCTCCAGTCTTTCCAACCTGCCCTGAATCTGTTCTTCTTCAAAAACTTATGTGAATTGTTGAAGTTAAAAATAACAATTTTCCCTGCCCAGCCTGAAAAAGGCTTGTCACATGCAAGGACTAAGCCACAGCAGTCTGTGCTCAAGCCTCAAGGACATAAGAAACAGGCTCATTTTGATGAGGAGTGCTGATATCTCAATGCCAACGCCACTGAGGGGAGTGGTGCATTTCTGCCTGGAACACTGGACTGAGTCATTCAGAAACTCAGGCTTGAGCTACCAGCCCTGCTGCTGACAGCAGAGTGACAACTCCCCTTGTAAAGGGTAAGACAAAATAAAACCTGCACTCTGACAGCCTTCCTGAACCTTTTTTTGCAACCTCTCACACACTTATGGCTTTCCTGCAGAGGCAATCTGGACAAATACATTTTCCTTCAGAAAGGTGTCATAAAGCACTTCCCACACCACATCTCAACTCTTTGCCTTTGAAAGGGCCTGTTCAGGCATTATTTGCCTCCAAGCTGCATCAGTGGCAGAGGGGCACTCTCCTCAAAGCCATGGCCAGGATTTGAACTCAGGTTCCTGATATTTCTACTAAATAAACCCACTGGCTTTGTTTTAGTTTTCTTTTTAAGGAATTAAATCTTGGATGTCACTTTTTTTACTTCTAACCACACACACAAACTCTATCTACATTTGCATTAATCCAGTGCTGCACAGATTCATGTTGCTTTGCTAAGGAATATTTAGCTACCAAATAAAACAGAAAACTCAATTTACTTGTTGCTGTTGATTGTATCATGCACTAAGACTTAAAAATAAGAAAGTGAACAAAAGAAAAAGAAAAGAAAAGGAAAAGCACCTGAATGGTTCTGACTCATGTACATCTAAGGCTGCCCCTCGTATCCTTCCTTCCTTCAGGGCCTGTGCAAGTGCTTTTTCGTCTACTAACCCACCTCGAGCTGTGTTGACCAGGAAAGCCCCTTGTCTCATCTAGGGAAAGTTAAAAACAAGAATGATGAAATAAAAATAAATGAAATAAAACCGTTGTGGCATTATTTTTTTACTCAAAAGAAGCATCCATTACAACAAAGGCTATTCAGCTGGTTTAAACTGTAACAGTTGTCTTCCCTTTCCACTGGAAAGTACCATCAAATGTGATGCTTCTAACAGAAAATGCTATTTCACAGCACTTAATAACCTTTTGTTTCTTGTAAGTAGTGTCTTTTAATAGAAGCCTTGTTTCAGATATTGTGCAGTAACATGATCAAAAGGTACAACTGTGCATATGAAAGTGACAGATCATTTTATGCCTTTTTATTTCACTGTGAAATTGCATGAGACAGAAACTACAGCACATTCTTAAACAAATTCATATTTTGTGGCTTTCAACTTTCACACAAATAAAAGCCTACATGAATTTTTCAGAAAAATCAATGCTTTTGGATTTTCAAACACTTTTCCCTTTAGTTGCCAAAACACAGTAGATGTATGCATTATTTATTTTTGTTACTTCAGCTTCCTCCTCCCCTGTGAGACTTTTCAAATAAAGGTCTAAAGAATCCTTCTATTATTCAATTAAAAGGCATGAAAATGAATTTGGTTGAGAACGCCGTGTGCCCAGGAGAGAAGCTGTGCTGTGCATTGTGCAGATTAGCATTGCAGATGACACTACCATCAGTATGGGGAGAACTACAACAATTTACACCATAATACATCCACAACTTGAAAACAAAGTGGCAGTTTAAATAAGAGAAATGGCACTGAAATAAACATAAATTACAACATCCGGCTTCCAGCCACCCTGGTATTTCATCTTTGACAGATGTCTCAACACCTCTGTGCATGAAGGAAAGCACATGAAGGGCAGGAACCATGGAGAAGATGAATAATGGAAATCTCATTTTGTACCGACTCCATCTCTCAACATAAAAATAAGCAAACCCCAACATTCTGACACCAACTCAGCTTCATGAAACCTACACATCAAACTAAACCTTAGGTAAATGGATCCTTACCCTCAAATACTGATTCAAAATGCCAATTTCACCAACAACAAGGAGGTTTGAATAAGTCAGTTGTGGTTGCTTTTTTTAATGAGGTCATACAGAATATTAATATGCACATGCCTGCAGTGTTTTATAAAGAAAGAACTCACCATATTTTACTGGCCAGCTCTCAAGGTTTAACGTGGCCCTGCCTCTCTCCATCTGCAGGCTCCTGGGCCTACAGGAGATCCATCCACACAGCCAAACCCAACTCCAGTAACAGGGGCAGAACTCAAGGATGCTTCTCTCAGCTTTATGTAATTAATTTGGGAATCAGAACAGCACAAAAACTGGGGCAGGATCTTAAGCTGCTCTGGTAACAAGAGATTCCTTACGGGAACCATCAGTGCCTCTCCAGTTCCTGGTCAGCACAGGAGGGCTCACCCAAGAGCCCCTCACAGCTGTGCAGACACCATAAAGGTTCCTGGGAGCTCACACACCCTGCCCATTTCTGGGCAAACTGCTAACTGCAGCTCTAAGTACAGCTTGGTGTATTTACAGGCCCTCTGAAGGACACAAACATTTTACTTAAAGTGAACCCTGCTAAAATCTTCTGTCCAATCTGTCCAACAACCTTGCTTGAGTTTTCATTTTAGGACTATTTACAAAACTCCAGAACTAGCACTAAGACACTTTCCAATCAAACAGAACATGACTGCATAAATGCATTCTAGAGGGAATGAATTATGTGACTCATGATAAACTGTCAGGGTGGATGCAGCTGGAGATGATCCTTAACAATGGGTGGAAGCTTGAAAGAGCTTCACAGTTGGAACTGCTGACGTCTGGTAAATTCACCTACACTGAACCTGCAGAGCTGCTTTATAAAAGTGTTGTGTTTAAACCGCAGTTTTTTCTCCAATCTGTATAACTAAAGATGACCTCAGTCTCTTAAGAGCACAAGTTCATTGAAACACTTCTCTGAGCTACTCTGGGACTCCAAGGACAAGCAGGATGGCCTTACAGAATAAAGATAAATTCACTAGAAAAGTTACTTAAGAGAAGACAGACACCAAATTTTCAAAGACACTTGAAGTGTATGTCAGTTCAGACTCCACAAAGTTCAGGGTGAGATTTCTGTGAAATGAGATGCACCATACTTCTCAGTACTTTGTTTAAAAGCTGGTTATGACATGAGCATGCAGTATTGGACAAAAAGGGTATGCAATGCTCCCTAGAAATTCTAGGCCAACTCCAACACCTGTCAGCCTAAATCAGAATATGCTCTACACAAACTATGCAGTCAGAGGGTTGTAATTTCATGGGTTTCACATCCACTTTACTATCCAGACTGCCTCACCCAAACTCCTACCCAAAGCAAGAACTATCATCTAACACTTTAATTAATCCTTGCTTTGATCATGAAGGATAACAAATAGGAAGATAAATGCTTACTTAAGATACTTTCCAGTGCAGAGTTTATAACAGGCATTTCATTTCAGATGGCATTCCTCAGTTTTAACATGTTTTCCTTTGTCTGTTTCTCTGATTAATGTGCTGTGCCTTCTCCAAAGCTCAACACATTTCTCTGCCTCCACTCAAAAACTTCCTGTGGTGAGTTGGCCCAAAGTTCACAACGGCTGTGTAATAAAGTGACCAATGCTCAGTGGTTCCATGGAATTCAGTGTGATGCTGTCTGGTTTGATGTCTGCTTGAAAAGACATCTCACTATGTAATAACCACTGAATGTACCCAGCCATACAACAGAAGACAATATTCAAGGCAGGGTGACAGAGCTCTGGTTTCTTTGGTTTCATTTTAAGCTTCTTAATTTTTTAGAGTTTTAAATTCCAAATCCTGATTCTATGTTGTGATGGATTTGCAAAATCCCTAAACTCTCAAATCAAGAAGTGTGTTGTACTGTCAGTTTTGTGCCATGATCCTACATGACTGTGGAACATGCTCAGTAAGTTCTGAAATTCTAAAGTTCAACAATAGTGGGTACAAACTATTCTTCAGATGACAAGCAATGATTTGACTGCAAAATAGTCTACTGTCATTGTTACCAACATATAAACCCATTATATATAAAGACCAGCCAAATCAACTATGCTATCTTAGGGTTTCTTTACGTTGACTCCATTCTTATGTCTCAGAGTTTTACTTCTGGCTGTTACCCACACTAAAGCTGGAGTCAAACCTTTTCATTAAATGCTTGGCTTCTATTATCAATTTTTTCAACAATGGAGCAGTTACTACACCCAGATTTTGAAATTATTTTATTATTTTGTGTATTACCAATACACAAATATTGGAGAAGTTAGTACTAATTCCAAGAAACATTATTTTTCCCAATAATGCAATGCTGTAAATGAGCTCTATCCATGAAGTGCTCTATGAGCATCAGGACTGAGCACAGGGGGGAGCCATTTAGTCATAATCCTTAAATTGCATCAAAGGAACTCAAACTGAGGGACAACGGTGAAAGGCAGAATTGCTACCTGAAAATACACATGTAGAGGAAGTAGCTACTGCAAGACACAGAAAAAGTGCTTTTACATCAATGCCACTTCATTAAATCTCAGTGATATTTAGAAGAGCAAATTATTTCCACAAATGCAATGTTACTGAGCCAAAAAGACAGTAAAAACAACAATACATAAACAACCAGCTAGTTCCTAATCAATTATAGACCTGTTTGATCTTAGAGCAGCAGAAGAGAAATATTTCTATCAAATGAGAATCTACCTATTTACGGCAATAAACGCTGTACAGAGCTGGCCAGCAGCCCCGGTGTGGGGGCACCCAGCGAGGTGATTACCTGCTTTATGGTGAAGTCGTTAATGAGATGGTGATTGTGCTCGTTGAGGTTGCAGTGCAGGGTGACGCAGTCGCTGTGGAACAGCAGGTCCTGCAGAGTGCTGACGCGCTGCAGCCCCAGGGCGCGCTCCATGCCGTCCGACAGGTACGGGTCATAGAAAATCACACTGAAGCCAAAGGCCTTGGCACGCAGGGCCACTGCCTGCCCAACACGCCCTGCAACGACACAGCCACGCCGGGAGAGCAGGTGTGAGGCAGCTGCTGGGTGTCAGGCGGCCTCTCCTGCCCAGTGGGAGCCTTGTACCAAACCCTAACACTTGGTACAGCAAGGGCAGGAAAGGGAGGCGTCTCCCCATCCCACTCAGAATCATCACTGGGATCAGAAATGGCACACCTGGGCTGTCTGACACTGTCCTGGAACAAAGCAGCAGGTTTGCACCTTTTGTCACCAGGTATGTGGAAGGCCAGAAGATGTCACGTAATCTGCAATAATCTGTAATGCAAAGCTTGCCTGCTGGGCCTGGTTATGGCAAACTCCACTGCCTGTGAGCACATCCTGCCAAGGGCTTATCCTTACCCATGTCAAACCAGCTGGCTTTAATAAAAAGCTGTAAAATTAATCCTCAAAAATGGGTGCAATAACAGATAATTTGTTTAATCTGAAGCACAACCATTCTCAACACATGGAATCTCCTTTCTGGTATTTTTTTTGATTTTGAGGAACATCCTTCCAGCATTAAAATGCCTACAAGAATCCTGTTGTCTAAGGCTTTAAAATGCATTCTATTCAGCTACCTGAATAATAAATAAATAAAGTTGGTCATATGGCATCTAGCTAAGAGGACTGCAGTCCCACTTGGAATTGACACTGAACTTTGCTTTTTTGTTCCACTTCCCTTACTGTCAGATTTCAGAGCTGTATGGGCAAGACTCCACACCACAGTAGCAGGAGGTGTGTACTTCCCTTTGACACACTACCAGTAAAACAGAGAGAGAAAACCCCTCTGAGCACATCTGATGAGTTACAGGCATTTTGAAGAGTGAGAACTAACACACTTTCCAAGTTACAACTTTACAGACCAGATATTCACACTGGAGTACTGCAAATGTTGGATAAAGATGTTTCAAAAGCATCGCTCAACACACCATAATAACAATGCCTAATCTGAAAAACAAACCCAAAAAAAGTCAACAAATTTTCCTTTGTAATGTCTAAGTTTGTTAAAAAAAAGCATCAAATCAACCCAGGGAAATCCCATCTCTTTCCAACTGTGCTTGAAGGGATTTCCCTCTGCTTTTCAGTTTCTCTTTGAATAAACTTCAGAAGCCACAGGAAGAAAGGTTTTTGCTGATCACTTAATGTGAACACAGCAATTCTGCAGTGCTTAGTGACAGATGTGCTTGGAATATTAAACAGTACATCAATCTGACAGGGGCTGTCTGCTTTTCTTTGGGGACATCAGGTTAGAATCCTCCTCAAAATCTTTCATTTCAACACTTGCATGCATGTTATTTGTTTGCTTTCCAGGCTGTTTTTATAAATTTGAATTAGAAAATTTTCAACACAAACACTGTATTGTTTCCAAATTTTGGCACGTTCACAGCTCAAGGAATCAGTCACACAACTGTAAATATTTTTCTTCTTTTTTTTTTAACAAAGCATATAACTGTTACTCCAGCTCCATTCATTTTCACATGCAACATTCTGTCATCTGTTCTTTTTTTTTTACACTCTTTACAACACTAATACCTGAGGGGATTCACAACAGCAAAATCTCTTACAACAGCCTCTCCAGTCAAAGCCACACTTCATTCACCCCACCCAGGCCAATAAACCAAAGCCTTCTTCAATGGGCACAGAAGTTTCCTTCAGAAACACCAGGGAATCACATCTGTATTTCTAAGCAGAATTATCCTATTACCAATATTTCATGGGATACAACTCTGCAATTGACAATTCATATTTAGTCTTAGTCATTACACAACTGGACATAAGGAATTTGCCAATTTCTTTTTAAACTGCTGTCTAACATAAAGAACAACCACAAAACTATGACCTTTTTTCCTTTCCTGACTCTCCTGGGCATGAGGGGTGGTTCAAAACCTACCTCAACACACTGAGGACAATACAGCACACAAAGCATCCCACCTCTGGGACAACTCTATGGTAAGAGCATACCAAATTGTTATGAATATTCATGGCTGCTTCCAGGGAGAGCAAAATCTTAAGCTTAAAACCTTAATTTATTAGTTGGCAGTGTGAGAAAAATGCAGAATATGAAAGTTGCATACAATTGCAAAAAAAGCAGAAAGCAACAAGAGTGTATTTTCAAGGAAATCAAAGTTCTAGCAAGGTCCATTCATCATTTCAGAAGATCTCCTGTTACAGCCTCATCCATTCAACCCAAATCCCCCAATTTCCAGGTGCCACTGACCTGCCCTGAGTGTGACAGTGCAGCAGCTGCAGCTCAAGGACCCCGCTCAATCCTGGCCAGTGCACACTCATCCTCTGCTGGTATTGCAGAGTTCTATAAAATGACCCTGGGACCATGGAAATGATGATGTTGACCTGCCTGCAGACTTGCATGGGAAGAAGAAGTGCTTTCACTTAGCAGCTGTTCCCTGCCTGTGCAACAGCAGTGGAGAAGATGGGTAATATTTCCTCCTTGTTGGAGAACTCTGAAATGTGGAGAGAGCTGTTCTGCTACACTTCCTGCTGAGCACATTAAGAGAGCCAGTAGGACTGCTAAGAGTAGAGCATTTACTGCAGAGTAATACCACCCAACTCTTAAGCCTTATTTACTAATAACACAGGTTAGTAATTTGGCCAAGCATCTAGGCAGGGCAGTGGGACTGCTGAGAGAACAGAGCAGGTGAGGAAAGACAAACTGAGTGATGACATTCACTGTGATGTGGAGACAAATTTATTTAAAAGAATTTCACCTTTCTTGGGTGAGGAAATGCATTAGTCATCAGCATTTCTCACTGAGAAGGAAGGGAAAGGGAGTGCAACTTCACTGCTGTAAAATTATCATTAGAGCAGAAGCAGGGCCAGATGTCTATTCAGCCAAGTACTTACATGCTGCTGCTGATAAATATTCCTCCTTAAAAAACTTACAAACCCCTATATTTCTAGATACAAGGTGCAAAAGTAGCTTTTCTTTGGTATTTTTTTAAATGCAGGGCTAATTATCCACACTTGTGATGCAACACTTAAAATGTAGGACACTGGACAGTAATAAAGATGAAAAGTGACAGACAGCTGTTAAATGATGTGATATTATTATTTATGTAAAGCTCAAAGAGTCAGCCACTTCACAAAGACAGAAAGAGGCAAGGGCTGTGCCCTGAGGAGCTCAGGGGCTAACCAAACAACACAACAATGACAAATGGGCTCCAACAAGCACATGAAGGAGGCATTGTGCTCTTGAGTCCCTGCTTATCTTCAAGCTCAATACAAGCAGAGGATGAGAGATGGGTTAACTTTAAAGGAGGAACACAGAGTAATAGGATTAAGCAGGACAGAGCAAGTGTCAAAGCAGGAATATGCATGAGAGGAGGGAGAGAGAGTGGGTGATGGAAGGAAGGCAAGTGAGTCACGAAACTTGGCTAGATCAGTGGATAAGGAAGTGAGCAGCTGAAACTTGGAGACACAGTCATTCCCCAGCACAGAGATAGGCAGGAGCCAGGGTGCTTCTCTCTGGCAAAGAGTAAAGCCCAGGAGCAGATGTTGAGAAGGTCTGCAGTTAGCTGCTGCAGCAGCAGTGATAAATTGAAGCAACCCACTGCTGGAGAGAGCACAAGTTTGAAGACAAGAACAGACAAACACAGTTGTGGCTGAGAGGAGATGATCTCAGACACACGTTGAGGACAAAGGACAGAAACTGAGACACGACACAGAGGAAAGGGCTGAGCAACAGATGATGAGAACTGTTTGTTTTGTGTGAAATACATCCACCTCATAGCATCTGGGTGGATCATCACTTCTGACACTGACATGTCTAAATAATAAACTGAGGCAAAACTCCAGATGTAGGGAGAGGCCACTAGTGAAGAAACACCACCTAAGGACAACAGTCTCTGGTTGTAAAGGCATGTTTGAGTCTGAAACCCAAGACAGCTAACCTCTAGCAGTGAGCTGGACTAGAAAAGGGTGCACATCACAGCCTAAGTGCCTGAAGTGCTCACACAGAAATTCTGGTACGTCTTCTAAGTCTACATTTTTACTCTTCATTAATACATAGATTCAGAGGAGTTTGTTAGAACAGGTCTGACTCAAAGTGTTGTGCCTATTCACACACATGCACAAGAAGGAAGAGGGGAAGTTTTCAGAAGTGACTTTACAATTTAGTATTCTTTGAATATTCTATGGTAGGAAATAGATAGGAACAACACAAGGCTAGAGATAATGACAGCTCAAAACCTACAACAGAAGCATGCCCTTAAAAATCAGCTTTTACTGGCCTTTTTAGTCTAACATGCACACAAAAGGCTTGCTTTTTAAAACTAAAACCTAGCATTTTATAAAGCTTTATAGGCATACTGGCAATCTGATTACCCATTTATTCCTCTACACTTTTCAGTCATTGAGAACAAAACCAGCAAAACTCACTTAAGGAAGTCAATGATGAAAGAGTTTCACTTTCTAATCTCAAGTCTGAATCTGTTCAGTAAAAACACCAAACTGAATTACAGCAGTACAGATATCTCCAGCAAACATGCACACTGCATGTGAGCCAAAGCTTCAGTTTCAAAAACCAGGATGCATTTCCATTTTGGAAACACTGCAGGCAACTGTCCATGACTTAGGTACAGATGCTGTGACTGTGAGCACAATAATCATTGTGTGTTTTAATGACATGCATAATTACATTAGTATAGATTTGAGAAAGCAGCTTCATGTCATGACTAACTTCTTGAAAATCGTATTTTAAAGGCAATTCTTTGGTTGTGAAGATGGTTCTGGTGGACTGCATGCTCCTTTAAATGAGCACTATGTAACACCAGGCTATTTTCAGCTTCCAAAAGTAAGAGTTTGAGGCTGGAGTTACTTGACAGCAATGTGTAACTGGAGCAGTCATTTAAATATGATGCTTTGTTGTCAAAATCATATTACTAATTCCTGTGGATGAATAGCACAGCAATTACATCCACAGTCTAGCAGATCTGTGTAAGACAAGCACATGACTGAATAATTTTTATATAGAAACTGACTTGCTTGTTTTTCTTCTCTACTTCTGTAACAGACAGTAATTAATTCATCTCTAGCAAGCCTGTCCATCTGTTGGATGCTGAAAAACATTCAGGGTCACCCAGAGAGGTAAGTAGGTGATTTTATTAGGTCTGGAAACATTTCAAAATTTCTTGCTTATATTCTTCCTCTCATTAGAGTTGAAATACAATTTCACATCCACCTCAATCAAATGCACACAAGAACTGCTCTGCAGGGTGTTACTGAAGCAAAGACTTTTTAGTTATGTAAAAAACTGAAAAAGGAAGAAAGTCCAAACAAAACCAGATATGAAAATGGATAAGGGATAAAATACACACATGTAACAGGGCTGAAGGAGGAGGATTCTTGTCCTGGAAAAGGGAAGCGATAGTGTCTCCTCTTACAAGTAGGCAATATGGCAACAGAAAGATGCTGCCATCTTATTGCAGGGGTTCCATACTGCTGTCTCCTTATTGCAAAAGTTTCTTATCTTCCTATTGCTTCTCATGGGCAGCTCCTCCAAGCATTCACTCTCACTCTTTCACAAAGCACCCAGCTGACTCCAGTTCCCTTCTAAACCAGCCACCCCTCTCTTTTATACACTCTTCTTCTCACTGCTTACAGCTGTGGCCTGGTAAAGTCAGGCCTGTTCCTAATCTCTGATAATTGGCCCAGCTGCAACTCCTTAGGGGTAAGATTACTTTCTAGATTATCATTATTTTCTTATATTCTATCCCTCTACAGAACGACATACAGAAACTCAGAGAAATGAGAGAACATTATAATAAGTTTTCTGAGGAAAAGGGCGAGCATTTGAGTTCTATAATCTACAGGACTGAATGCTTGCCATGTGTGGGATCTCAGCACCTCAGGACTGAGGTG